AGTTGCCTGTATGCTGATGTTTTAGATTATCATCTTTGTGGGAGAAGATTGCCATGTCTTTTTCCTGTGGAGTTGCTGGGTGGGGTTTGAACGCCTAGGATATAATAGAATTGGCAATGAGGAACTCATTATCACTTAGCTGCAACTGGGCCTGAATTAATAGATAATTTTCTTTAGTGGAGTCTTTTTTTTTGTCTTGCATTCATTCATCCATTAAACACTGTTTGTCCTAAGAAGATTTTGATAATGAGGTCATATGAATTTATAAAATATAACAAAACAGTAATGTATTCCTAATAGTGATATATTTAGAATTGATTTTATTTTAAGATCTTTAGCTTCACCATCAAATGATTGATGGTTCTCCCTAAATCTTGTTTGGTTACTGTCAAACCTTTGGGGCTCAGACTTCCCTTTCTTAGGGGTCAGCTGATTCATAACAGTAGCAAAATTAGTTATGAAGTAGCAATGAAAATAATTCTATGGTTGTGGGTCACCACAGTATGAGAAACTGTATTAAAGGGTTGCGACATTAGGAAGGTTGAGAACCACTGTTCTAGAGGAAAAACATAGAGATGGAAAGAAATTAACAATTTTGTAATGACTATAATATAGACATTACTGCCCTAAAGATATATTAAAGTTGGTAAAGGGAGAAAATCTAAGATGGTATTTAAATGTTATGGTCATTTTTAATAATTCAGGATGAATATAAGTGAACTTAGAAGAAAAAATTGAATAAGAATAGTTATTTTTTTAAGTTAGATGTTAATCACTGATGTTTGTAGTAGTCAGTTGAAGTAAATCATAGCATACCTGAAAATGAGCAATTCTTTTGGATTTATGTTTAGAAGTAAGATAATTTTTAAAAACTTTATTAAAAATAATAGTGACATATAATCAATAATCATGTCATATCAAACAGCTTTATTTTTTCTTTTCCAATCTGTGCAGAATCAATATTATTTCTTAAGGTGTGTAGAATTTGGCACTAAGTTATCTTGTTATTTACCGCCCCTGGGATTTTGCCCTCATTCTCTACAATTTGCCAGTCATGCTAGTTGGATTCTTCTTACTGATATCCAGTTGTATCTTTTCCCTGTCCTGTTCTATTAATTTTGGAGCCCAGTTGGTTACCCTCTAACTTAAGCAGCTTTGTTTTTATTTTTGTTTTTTTTTCCCTTTCAATCTAATAAGGTTGGTAAGAGTGATACTCTTTGCATCTCTCCTCATACTTAAACCGATAGCTTTATGTTAGCGTTCTTCTGCGTTTTAGACAATTAATAGTTTCTGTTCCTCAAGACAAAATTAATTACCTCTTGCTCTGTGATCTGAATGGTCAGCAGTTTGAAACCACCAGCAGCTGTAGGAGAAAGACTGGGCTTTCTATTTCCGTAAACAGTTACAGCTTCGAAAACCCACAGGGGAGTCACTATGAGTCAGCATCGACTACATGGCATTCAGCTTGGTTTTGGTTTGCTAATATTAGCACTTTGTATATACCTATATTATATATTTACCACAATAAAGGTAATCTTTGATTTATCCAAATTATTATGATCTAGACTGTACTTTTCTGGGTACATTTTACCTTAGTAATGCACTATATCCAGGAGCCCTGGTCAAGTAGTGGGTTCCACAGTAGATTGCTAATCACAAGGTCAGCAGTTTGAATCCAACAGCTGTTCCATGTGAGAAAGTTGAGGTTTTCTACTCTTGTTAAGAGTTACAGTGTTGGAGATCCACAGGGGCAGTTCTATTCTGCCCCGTAGGGTCTCTCTGAGTCAGCATCTACTGGATGACCGTGAGTTTTTAGAGTTTGCAATGTACTACATAGTGTTCCAACATGTAATTACCGATGTTATAATTTTTCTGGAAACCTCCAGAGACAAAGATCAACTTTATGAAGTTATTTAGAATCAAAGGCAATCATATTCAAAACTTAAAAAACAAAAACAAACCAAATTAGTTATTCAGCTTAGGTGAGAACCAAATTAAGAGAGCATCTTGGAACAGGCCCCGGGGTAAGTCAGGAACGATCTGGATTGTGTAATTATTTGTTAGTATATATGTTTCTCTTCGTGGTTGCTTTAAGGGAAAAAGGATCTATGTCCTCATGTTTCTCTAGTCCAGTGGTTCTCAACCTTCCTAATGCTGCAGCCTTTTAAAACAGTTCCTCATGTTGTGGTGACCCCCAGCCACAACATTATTCTTGTTGCTGCTTTATAAGTGTAATTTTGCCACTGTTAAGAATGGTAATATAAATATGTGATATGCAGGATGTATTTTCATTGTTACAAATTGAACATAATTAAACATAATAAAGCATAGTGATTAATCAATCTCTAAACACTATATAATTATATATTGTGAAATATTTATGTGTGTTTTCAGATGGTCTTAGGAGACCCCTGTGAAAGGGTCATTCGATCCCCAAAGGGGTTGCCACCCACATAGATTGAGAACCGCTGCTCTATTGCTTCTGATTCATGGTAGACACTTAGGATATGCTTGTTGAATGGCTTGCAACAAGCTTTTAAAATCATAGCACAGTCCTAGAACACCATAAGGTGCTGACTAAATAGTTGTTGAAAAATTCATGAGTAAAAGGACTTACTTAGTTTTGTAATGTGAAAAAAGATACAAAAAATGGGTGGCTTTAGAGAACAGAAATTTACTTTCTCACAGGTTTGGAGGGTGTCTGAATCGGTGTCTTGGCAGTGTGGATCCTCCTTGGGCCTTTGTCCTAATTTCTGGTGTACCAGAAATCCCCGGTGTTCTTTGCTTGTGTACATCCTCACAGACCTTTTATTTCCCCTTGTGTGTGTCCCTTTCTGTGATGTTATTACTTAGTACATGTTTGTATTATTTGTACATTAGAATGTGTCTAGTCTGCCTGTTTTGTTTTGTTTTGAATAAGATACCTTTTAGAAATGGTTAGGTTTACGGTCCACCTCTCTGGTACATAATAAAATTAACATAATAAAAGAAAATCTCTATTTCCTGGGGGACATGAGAGAGGAGAGAGCAGGAAGCCAACAAACTCAGAGATAAGGGAACAACAAAGATCTAAAATTGATGATGAGGACGGCCTATAATGCCTGGTAGGGTTTGAACAAGTGCACCGTATCTGATAGGAATTACTGAGAGCTGAATGGAGGGTGAGCAAGATATTGGTTCAGAAAGAAAGTAAAAGGAAATAGAGGAAAGAACTAGGAGACAAAAGGTATTTATAGAGGTATAGCTATATGCATGTACTGTATATATGTAAATATATTAATGTATAGCAAAAGGGGTAGAGACCAAGGTATGTATATTTAAATGTTGAGTATTGAGTTAGCAGATGGACTGTAGGCCTCTACTCAAGGCCTCCCTAAACACAAGAAACTTTGTTCTAATAACCTGTCACTCTTTGAATCTCACCTTTCCAATATGATTGTTAAAGACAAATTAGGTGCATGAGTAAATATGGTGAAGAAGCAGTTGGTGCCCAACTATCAAAAGACACAGCATCTGGGGTCTTAAAGGCTTGAAGTTAAACAAGCAGCCATCTAGCAGGGAAGCAAATAAGCCCACATGGAAGAAGCACACCAATCTGTGTGATCATGAGATGTCAGCAGGAGCAGGTATCAGGTATCAAAAATCCCAAACAAACAATTATATCAATGTGAAGGAAGGGAGTAGGAGTGGAGACTGAATATCTGTAGACAATTGGGTATTCCTCCACAGAGGGGTTATAAGGAAGGGACGGTTCAGCCAGGGTACAGTATCCTACCGACGAAGTACCCATCATTGCTCTAGTTCCTTAATGCTTCCTCGCCCCCACTACCATGACCCAGTTCTACCTTACAAATCAGGCTGGACCAGAATACACATGTTGGTACTGATAAGAGTTTTCAACACATGGAATCAGGACACATAAAACCCTCAGGAACAGTAGTGGGAGTAGCGATATGAGGGTAGAGGGATGTGGGAGTGGGGGTAGAAGGGGGTCCATCACAAGGTTGAATATATAGCCCATGCCCCAGGGGATAAATAATAAATGTAGGTGAAGAGAGACATAGACAGTGTAAGACATGAAATAACAATAATATATAATTGATCAAGGATTCACAAGGGTCGGGGTGGGAGGGGGAAAAAAGAGGAGCTGATACCAAAGCCTCAAGTTGAAAGAAAATGTTTTAGAAATATCGATGGCAACATATGTACAAGTGTGCTTAATACAGCTGAGTGATGGATGGTTCTAAGATTTGTAAGAGCTCCCCCAATAAAATGACTCATTTTAATAAATAAATAAATAAGATACCTTTCAGAAGTGATGAGGCTTAGGACCCCACCTCTCTGGTACAGCCCAATTAACATAACAGACGAAAATCTATTTCAGAGCAGGTATATTTACAGATACAGGGATTAAGACTTTGCTATAACTTTTTTGGGGGAAAAATTCAATTTACAATAGATAATGCTAAAAAACTGACCTTCTGTTGACCAAATTTCCAGGTACTTAAAAACATTGTTTAATTTATAAGTCTGATTTTCATTAATTTCTCTAAAATCTTTGCTGAGGTTCACCAGAAAGTTAAATTATGAATTATATCATGAGTTGTTGAAATGGTATTACATTTTTTTTTGACCTTTTGGGTTATACTGTTTATCTAAGGGCCAAGTCAGCAGTTCAAAATGACCAATTGCTCCATGGGAGAAAGATGAGCCTTTTTACTCCCAGTACAAATTACAGTCTTGAAAATCCACGGGGACAGTTCTGCCCTCTCTATAGGGTTGCTGCCAAATTGATGGCAGTAAGTGTTTTTGAGTTTGAAGGACTTCCGAGCAGTAGATAATGAGTTATTACATTTTTACGTATTATGAAAGAGTAAAATCATTTTCTCTTAGTAGTATTTACAAATAGGATATTTTAGGAATAAAGTTAGTTCCCAAATTCTAATTTTAAGTTAGTAAATAAAATAAATAGTTTTTTAATTTAACTGTATTTTTTCCAGATCAAATTTTCACCAGGAATTAAAAAATTGTTTGTAGTAACTGCAGTGAGCGCTGTATCTGTAATTTTTCTGGCCCATCACTTGAAAAGAAGACGGGGAAAGAAAAAAGGGCAAACATTACCTTGGGAACCAGAGCACCTAGTACTTGAGTACACTAAAAGAACAGCATCCGACAAAGGTAGGTGGAATAGTGGAATTCAGTTTATGAAGAAAAATTTGTATGCAGTCATAATTTGAATGTGATGATTTCAGTGTTTTATTCTCTAAACAGTTCTTTAATATTTATCTAATAAATAATGTATGTTAAATTTAGAAAAATTGGAAAATACAGATAAGCTAAAAAAGCAGAAAAATTAATACCACATCAAGTCCTGCTACTCTGAAATAATTTATATAATAATTTGGCCTGTATCCATTTATACTTTTATGTAACTATCTTAGTGACATAAAAATTTTGTTGTGTACTAGTAAATTACTTAAATATTTTAAGTAAAATTATGATCATACCTTGTGTTATCTGCCTCTAAAATACTTCAAAGTGCATAAGGATGTCTTTCCAAGTCACTGAATATATCTCCCTGCTCTCATCTTTAATGGATGGGCATCTAGTCTTAAATTTATACAGATAGACGGTAGTTCGTTTAGACCAGCCCTTTTGTTTCCTTTAGGATGTTTGGGTTTTCTTGTTTTGCACATGTCTTTGTAGCTTCCTAGCTATTTCCTTGCAATGTAAAGTTCTAAAAGTGTGTTTTCTGGATTTTAGAGGATCTATAATTTTGTTAGGGATATGGTATATATTGTCAGATTATATCAATAAAAATTACTTCCGGAACATGCTAGACTTGTATTTTATTATTTGAATTATTATATACTTTTATTGTTTTTATATTGTATAAATTTTATTATTTACTTTGTTAAGTAAAAAGTTAGTGACTTTTTTGTGCTAGGTACAGAAAATATTACAATAATAATAGCTTTTACTTATTGAGGTTTTATTCATTATTATGTGCTTAATACTGCATTTTTGGTGCTTTTTTTAATGTTTGTAGTAATCCACCCATCTTATGACTAAGATTGTGAACCTATGTTACCATCCTTGTTTTATAGAGAAGGGAAATTGAGGTATAGGGAAATTATGTGACATTCTAGGGTTTTTAAACTTGTAAGCAGATTATGTGTGTGTATGCGCATGCATGTGTGTGTAAGTAGATTTGGATCCAGAAGTGTCTTGATGTATTACTTGTAAACCAAAAACATTATATGATATTTACCCTAGAGAAATGGATAGATGGGTATGGATGAGGTTTACATTTAATTCAGCAAAGAGGTGGTTATATTTTATTAAATTTATAATTTGAAGTTTCAAATTTGTCAGTATTTTTTACTGATTACATTAGATCTTCCAAATATTATCCTGATTAATGTTGTTACTACTTTACCCTTTATTTCAGAAACAGATTTTTGCAGTGTTAAAAACACGCAGATTTTAGTAATGGTGTACATTTAGTAATTTACACAATTCAGTGATGTGTGTGTTAAAATCAGAAACTTTTGACTGAATGCAACATAAACTTTGAAATCTTACATGAATTTATCACTGTGGTTATTAATGCTTTTAGTATTAATGTGTTTGGTAGGTTCAAGTTGTTCCAGCAGTAGACAGAACCTGACGTTGTCTTTGAGTTCCACCAAAGACAAAGGAGCTCAGTCTTGTAACTATGTTAATGGAGGACTTTTCAGTAAATATTCAGATTCTGCGCAGAGTTTGACCTCTGTAAGTAAAACTAAGAATACATTATTTTCCTTCTATTTTGCTTATTACTAGTCTATTTATTTAAAGGACATAAGATTATAACTCTTACTGTGGAAACAACCTTCTGGTTGTCCGAAAACGGATCCTGCTTTCTTCAGACAAGCACGCGTGTTCATTTGCTAATACTCAGCCCGTTTGGTTGCAGGTGTCCTTGAGTAAATGACGTAGTTCAGAGGGATCTGTTAGAATGGTATTGAAGTGAAAGTGTTGTTTTAGAGCTAGATGCTCCTAAAACAAATAAACAAAAAAATCCCGAGAAAACAAAAAAGCTAGGTTTTCTGCAAAAACCTGGAAGCTGCAGCCAGTCTCTGTGTTCTGTCGCAAATTCATTCGATGAGCCTGCTGAGGGAAAGGCGTTTGGCTTGCATTAAGCCGTGTGGGTTTCCTGATGGGATACTTAGTAGAATAGTGTCTGACAAGCTGGGGACCACTCATTTTCCTCTTTGGAGGATTAGTAAACTATTGATTGGCAAGTGAGGCATGAAGTTAGTATTTTTTAAAATACAGTTTAAAATTAATATTTAAAATAGATTGCATATACATTTGTTACTAAATTCTGAAGAGTTAAAAGAATACACAGTGCAAATAATGTTCCTGATCCCCTGATGTTTATCTTCAGTGATAAACATCATGGTCAGTTTTTATGTTTATGTATATCGTGTTAAAACATTCCGGTTTATAAAACAAGGAGACTTGATAACACAGTTGGCTGAGTGTAGGGCTGTTAACTGCTAAGGGGGCAGCAGTTCAACCCCACCAGCCACTGTAGAGAGAAAGAGGAGGTTGTCTGCACTGTAAAGGTTTACAGTCTCAGAAACCCTAAGGACTCGTTTCTACTCTGTCCTATAGGGTCGATATGAGTCAAAATCAATTTAATGGTATTGGGTACTTGTTTGACTTGTTCTTTACTTTGCTTCTGTATTTCATTGGAATAGTTACAATACTTTTCATTACCTAAAAATATATATACTTTTAAAAAGGTATATTCTTTTATTATTAAATAAATATATAGATAAAAATACAAAGGTATATTCTCAGGCAAGAACTTCTAGTCAAGGTTCTGCGTATGCTCAATCCCTCTGCAAAATTGAGTAGAATGAAGTGTAGCCTGTTTTAAAACCTGGACTTCCTCTGTATCAGAGAAGTGCCTCTGGCTTGAATTTTCTCTACTGAGAATCGAAGCTATTTGTCCTGGATAAAGGTCGAGAAAGGCAACCCTGGTTAAGGTCCCGGCAGCTAACTGAAAAGTTGGTAGTTTGAACTCACCCAGCTGGTTTATGGAAGAGAGACTTGACATTCGCTTTATAAAGTTGATCACTAAGAAAACCCTGTGGGCACTTCTGTTCTGTCATACGGGTCACTCTGAGTTGGAATCAATTTGATGGCATCCCACAACAGTGCAGGAGATGTCCAGGACTTACAGTCTTGCAAACTGTATACAGGGTCACTGTGAGTCCATATTGATTACAGGCAGTGAGTTTCATGATGACAGTATGGTGAGGAGCTGGATTTTACAAATAGAACTGGCCTCACTTCGGTTTTGTGAGCGTTCTTGGCAGATAGTGGAGCAGGAGTGAAGTTCTAGAGATGAGCATGAGAAAGCATGGCACACAGTGCACACAGGTTTCACTGCGCACACTGACATTTGATGAATGACAAAGTGAAGTGTGTGAGACGTTGGCGAAATAAGCCCGACAAATATCTAATCATGGAAGATCATGAACGTCAATTTAAAGATTTTCAACTTTATTCTATGCTGTGAGGAGCTTGTAAGCATTTTTGAGCACTTGAAAAACAATTTTAGAGCACACTTTAGAAAGATAAGTAAGCCCATTGAGATGTAGACTGGGGATGAAGGAGATCAGAAGCTTTTGAGCCAGCAATTGGGAATCTGTTGAGTGAGGAGACCTTGAGTTCGGGTCCTGACAAAAAGGAGTGGAAAGGAGGGAGCAGGTTCTACAAATGTGGTTATTGGTTATGAGAGTTGTAGGAAACTTTCTGTTGTCTAGTTTGAGAAATTTGAGGATGGAAGCGCTGTTAGTGAACTTGTGAGTAGGAAATTTTTGTTGTAAGATCAGAGCTCTACATTAAACACTTTCACATACTCTCTGTTTAAAATATACAACGCAAAACATACAAGTTCAGCAGTGTATCTGTCCACCTGTACAATTCAGTGATATAGAATGTCTTCTTTATACACCCACTCATTCTGAATGGTGCCTCCCCTACTAACAATTTCATGGCCCTCCAAGCTTCCTGCCTAATCTTTTGAGTTGCCACTGGCATTTCAATGCTATATAGATACTTCAAAAAAAGAGAATACTGCAGCTTTTATAAAAAAAACTAGTTAAACTAAAGTATTGTTTGGTTTTAGGAACTCTGGTGTAGTGTGGTTAAGCGTTGGGCTGTGATCCCCAGGGTCAGCAGTTCAAAACTATCTGCAGCTCTGTGGGAGAAAGACTAGGTTTTCTACTTCTGTAAACAATTTTGGAAACCAACAGGACATGGCCATGAGTCAGCATTGACTCCATTGACTTGATGGTAGTAAGACGATTTTTGTTTTCTTGTTTGGTTTTAAGAAGATCTTGGGATATTTTGATTAAGCTTTAAAGACTATCTCAGGGCAATAGTTAGAAGTTTCATTCTGAGCTCCTTTTATTTTTCCCCCCAATATTTTTATTAGCAAGCAATTTACATATCATATAACTGAATAGTTCAATCATTCAATCGTAGAATTGTACAATCACTCCCACTCCTAGAATTGTACAGTACTCCCAATTTTAGAGTATCGACTCCCCCCACCCATTTGAATTGCCATTAAGATGACTTATGCAATCACAGTCCGTTATAGTGCTGAGCTCCTTTGTTGTTATACAGACCATGTAATGCCCTACTTTTAGACAACTCTCTAATGTGTTGTACATTTGCCTTTGAAATAGTGAACCAAATCGGAACAAATTCTTCATCACAGTCAGGTCACCCTCACTTGCTGTACATGCAGCTGTAAGTCATTGCAAAGGGTTTGAGCCTTTTTTCCCCACAGACCCACCCACTGTCATTAAGTCAGTTCTGACTCAGTGATCCAAGAGGACAATGTAGAACAGCACCATAGGTTTCTGAGGCTGTATAGCTCTACAGAAGCAGACTGGCATCCTTTTGAGGAGCGTCTGTGAGTTCAGACCATTGACCTTAGGTTAGCAGCCCAGTGCCTAACCCACTGGGCCACCAGAGCATCTTTCTTGAATGAGCTCAGACTCACTGCCATCGAGTTGATTCTGACTCATAGTGACCCTACAGAATAGGGTAGAACTGCCTCTGTGGGGTTTTGAGACTACTCTTTACAGAAGTAGGAAGCCTCATTTTCTCCACAGCTGGTGGGGCTGACCTTGGGGTTAGCTCCTTCTCTTATGTGAAAGTAAGGCTACATAAGAACACTTCCACCTCCCCTGACTTACCTCCAAATTCAACATAAAGATACACTTAGTGTCAGATCTCATCAGTAACTGCTGACTGCCTGAAATTAGTTTGAGATGCCAACAGAGGAGCCACATGCAGTCACTGAATAGCAGGGGCGCATCAAAAGTATGGCAGGTATGGTATGTGTCCTGGGCACCACCAAATGAAGGGAGAGGGGTCCTGCCAATGAGCAGTATTTATTAGCCATTGTAGTTTCCATGGCCAGCTAGGAGAGATTACTCAGCAATTTAAAACTAATTGCCATAGTGATGTTTTCTGTAGCTATACTGCTGCCTAATAGATGAAAATATAAGCCTATATTTCTTGAGAGAGGACAAAGATAGAGGTGGAGATTTGAGGAGGAATCTGCATAGAGAGATGAATGAAATAATTGGCATCTGAACACTAAGGAAGAATGTGTACAAATAAAGAAGAGGTTTTTCAGTTTTACCTATCATTTTACCTATCACAGAATCAGCATTATAAAAAATTCTAAAAGGAAAATTAGCTATCACAAATTAAAGAAGGTATGGTTATAATTCATAAACACTTAAAAATAGTAAGCAATAGCGATAACTGCTTGATTTTCAGTGGAAATGATTAATATTCAGGATATTATGCTGCTTGTATACTTCTGAGCAAATAAGGGTCTCCTTTGTTTGAGCATAGTTGAATCTTTAGATGGAAAGTACATAGACTGTTTTACCAGGAATAGGATTTCTATAAATGACTTGTAAATATAAAAGAACACAACATACTATCGTAAGAAAGATTTGTAAATAACTTTGGCTGATCTTAATTTTAGGTCCAGAGTGTCAACTCATGCCATAGCTGTGTTTGTGGCAACTCTAATTCCTGGGACAAAGCAGATGAAGATGATATTAAACTTGTTAATATTCCTGTGACCACTCCTGAGAACTTATATTTGATGGGTAGGAATAACATGATAAAGTTCTAAGATATTATATGCTCATGTTATATAAAATTGAAAACAGCGGATGTGCTGAAGGAAGCAACTATAATTGAAAAATGTTCTGTCAAATTCAGTCTACATAAAATACATATATAATCCACAGTATTAATTTCCTGGGGCTGCAATAACAAATTACCATAAATTTGGTCTCTTAAACAATAGAAAATTATTTTTTCATAGCTCTAGAAGCCAAAAGTCTAAAATCAGTATCACTGGGCCACGCTACCTCTGAAGTTTCTAGGGAAGAAGGGTTGCTTGCCTCTTCTGGTTTGTTTTGGGTGCCAGGATTTCTTGGCTTGTGGTCCTATCATTCCATGGTCTTTCTCCATAATCATAACATCTTTTCTGTATCTTCTCTCTATAAAGGCATTTTTTATTGTGTTAAGGACCCCTGAGTAATTCAGAGGGATCCCTGTGGCATAATGGTAAAATACACCATTGCTAACTGAAAGGTTGGCAGTTCAATCTCACCAGCCCCTCTGTGGAAGAAAGATGTTAAGAGTTTG